CACAATCCACTCCACACACACAACACAGAACAAGCAGCCATCCATCTTCACCAACGTCCACCACTATCTCTCAGACAACAGTAACGTCATCAGCTGTCCCATCCAGCATGCACACCTCTTTCACCACACTCACCATACCCACTGTCACAGGGCCCACTGAGTCCACACCAAAAGGGACACCAACCCAGTCTTCCCATACACCCACAACTTTGCTCCACACAGGCCCCTTTCAAAGCACAACTCAAGTTTCATCTACACGTCCTACCACATCCTCAGTCACCACACTCAAACACACAAGCACTGCACCCATTTCTGACTTGCTCACCACCACTGCCACAACCCCTGGTACAACCATCTCCCACCCTGGCACCCTCCATACCATGTCCAGTCTTCATCCCACTGTCACGTCTCTTCTCACCTTCAGCACTGATGGTATCTCATCCACAGTTCCAACGCAATCCCCTACGCATACACAACACAGTACTACACATCGTCTATCTTCATCAACGTCCACCACTGTCGCTCAGCCGACTATGACATCTCATGCTGTCCCCCTGACTCTCCTCACCTCTTCCACCACTCTCACTGGTCCACCACCCACTACCTCTGGTCCCACTGCCTCCACCCCAGTGGGATTCTCATCCATAATGCCTTCTTCCCTCACCACCACCACATTCCCTCCAACCAAGCCCATTTCCTCCCCTATGAGCCCTGTCACTTCTCCCTTGTTATCCACTCATGGAACCACCTCATATTTCACATCTTCCAGTGGGGTCATTCCATCCTCCACCACAGAAAGCTTTACCTCTGTCATGTCCACCTCTCCCCATGTTTCTCAGTCCTCTACCTCGTCACCATCTTCCCCTGTCTCCAGAGGCCCAACTAGCTCACTGCCCAGCCTCTCTCCTACTGCTTCCACAGTTGAACCCCCAGCCAGGACAACTCTGATTTCTCCTGTGCCCTCACCCAGCCTTCACCCCCCATCCAGCACTGTGTCTGAGACCACTTCCTCTGTGGTTCCCAATGTCTCCATGTCTACTGAGTTTCACACAGTCCCTCCCTCTGGCACAGGCTCCCCAGGTCCCACCCTGTCCTCCTCCTCCTCCTCCTCCCTTCCTAGGTCCACTTCTGCTTCAGGTTCTCCCCCTTCCAGCGTTCCCAGCGCCCTCACTGTACTCTCCACCATTCTCACTACACCTGTGTCCTCCTTCCCACATTCCTCCCTCACTCCCTCCCCATCCCAAGGGACAGCTTCCTCACCTCCCTCTCACCCAGCCACCATGCCCTCCCCATCTGCTCCCTCTGTCTCCAGCATGGTTCCACCTTCTCCTGCTTCCATGACACCTGTGGCTGTGTCTACCCCAAGAACTTCCTTCAGCACCCCAGTTCTATCCACTGTTTCCACTCCGTTTACCACGTCCCAGTTGACTACGCACACCACTCGAGTCTTCACACCAAGTGTGGTGTCCACCACCCTTGGATCAACACACTTCTCTTCCCCCACCACAAGCCTGACCTCAGCTTCTGCAGCCCCATCCACACTTCGGAGCAGCTCCACCCCAGGGCCACACAGCTCACTCTCTTCTGCAGCCAGCAGTGTGACCTCAAGTTCAACTGGTAAGTTCGTGCTTCCTCATGATAAGCTCAGGTTCTCCAACCCCATCAGGTCTCAGCTGCCTTTGAGTGGGGGATGGGGGTGGGGGGCTGGGTGGAAGGGAAAGCAAAGTCCTGTCCTCAGCGAATCCCCAAGCTATCTTGTGTTTTCCCCTCTTCATGGTAACTTTAGACCTTCAGGCTACATGGGAATTCTGGCAGAAAACACATTGCTCTCCTGTCTGAGCCAGAAAGCTTGTCTGTCACCCACTCCTGGGACAGCCTGGTTTTCCTCAGACTTGACTTACACCCTTGTAATTTCACTGGCTACCTACCTTGTGTTCATTTCACTCCATAGTCCAAGCATGGGGGCAGGAAGGGGTGGTCTCTGACCGCCTCCTGGCTCTCGCTGTACACTTCTGAGCTACCTTTCCTGAACAGGATGTGTTCTGTCCAGATGCTCATCCCAGGGGCAGCCAGGTAGTACAGTGGATAGAGCACCGGCCCTGGAGTCAGCAGGGCCTGAGTTCAAATCTGGCCTCAGACACTTGACACTTACTAGCTGTGTGACCCTGGGCAAGTCACTTAACCCCACTGCCTGGCCAAAACAAACATGCTCATCCCTCAGTGATCTTGGCAAGGGTGCAGAGAATAGGAGAGCTACCACAGGGCTGGAAAAGGGGAAATGGACCAGGTCTCAAAAAAGGAAGAGAAGGGAGTCAGCGAACGCTAGGTCAGGAGCTAGACTGTGGTTCTTGACACAACTCTGAAACTTTTATTAGAGGGATGGCTCATGACTAGCCAGAAAAGGAAGCAGCGATCTCCAAGGGCAACACTAATGGAGCCTCCTCATCTGGCATCGATGAGGGGAGGGATGGAGACACATAGACATAAGCCCAGACTTTGCAGAGAGACGGTCTCACTCCAAGATGGAGACCAGAGGCCAAAGGACAGCTCATTGAAGGGGCTTCAGAATGGCTAGGTCGCTGGACCCAAAGAGTCTTCATGAATGGCTAGTGGGAGGCCTCCACAGGCAGGACCCGAGCATTTGGGCTTGGCCCTGCACAAGCTAACACCTGCATCAGGGACCTAGATAAATTCAGAGAGAGCGGCCTTAGCAAAATTTTCAAGTGCAAAAAGAAATTTAGGAGAAATAATAGCTAAGGTCCCAGATGTCAGGAGCCCAGTAGATCTGGATAAGGGAATTAGACTGAATCTAATTCAATGATATTTAAGAGAAATAAATCTAGAGAGTGTGTTACACACAGATTTAAAAAATTCTCCCCAGTACAGGATGGGAACGATCTGGCTCCACGGTAATTTGTCTAAAACAATCTGAGGGTCTCAGTGGACCCTCAAGATGAGCCAGGAAGGCTTCTTTGATCTTAGGCCACATTAAGGGGGGCTGATCAAGGCGGAGCTGTGCCCCACCCTGTCCAGGCTGCACATGGACTCCTCCTCAGTCCTGGGGGCCACAGGTTAAGAAGGACAATGACCAACTAGAGAGCATCTGGAGGAGGAGGGCAACCAGCGTGGCGAAAGGCCTTCAGTTCATACCAAAAGGGAATCTGCTGAAGAACTGGGATCTTTAGCCTGGAGAAGAAAAGAGTCGGGGGACCCTGCCCCCATCCCTCGGGTCTGCACGGCTGTCACGCCAACGGGAAGCCATCAGCATGTGCGACATAAAAGGGACCTCTCTTGGATCCCACCTTTGTCCTTGTCCTCACCACGGGGGCGGGGGGGAGGCCTGATAGAAGGCACCCCCCCCAGCCCAGCCCATCCACAGGCCCACACTGCGGGGGAGCCTCGCTTCATGGACACCACGCTTAGTCTGTGCTGCAGACGCCTCTGTGTGCATTTGGGGCTGGGGGACCCAAAGCCCGGTCGCAGACAGGAGAAGGGCCTCGGGGGCTTGGCTTCACGTGGATGTTGCTTCCACCTCACTATATATGACCTTGGGCAAACCCTGGGCCTATTTCCCAATCTATGAAATGGGGACAAATCACCTTTAGACCACGACGTCACAGGGTGGTCAGGAGAGCCTTAAAGAAGCCCAGAGATGAGGCGACCGCTCCTTCAGTGAGAGAACCAGGGAGAAGCCGCCCGCCCACAGACACTCAGGGGACTGGTCCTGGGTTGGTGGCGCAGGAACACCACGGAGGAGGGGCTCCCCAGAGACCTCCCAAGCCCGGGAGGAGAGGGCAGGAGGAAATGAGCCAGGCTCCCAGTCAGGCCTCAGTGAGTCCAGATTCCTTCTGCGTCCTCTCCAGCTCAGAGCTGGCGAGTCTGGGAAACCAGAGGCGTCGTGGTGGGAAGAGATGGGTGTCAGCACTGGAGAAGGAAGGCGAGAGCCTCTGGGCAAGGACTGGCCTGTCCTGGGTATAGGCTGTTTGTCCTGCCAGCCAGTGCGTGTGTGAGTGCGTGCAAACATGCACACGTGTGCAACACAACACGTGCACCATTGCACGCGCACACAATGTATCACACACATACACGCACACATGCCATGCACACACAAGTGCATGTGCATGCACACATACATGTTACACAGTGCGCAGTGCATGCACACACATGCAGATATCTGCATACCTGTGCATCTCATATGTGCACTGTGCATGCACACACATACATTTCACAATGCACACATGCATGCACACATACGTCCGCACATACACATGTGCACACACACAAGTACACACGCATGAGCACACATGCACACGAGTACACGTGCACACACGCTGGCTATCAGATCTCACAGGGCTTCCCGGCCCCATTAATTCTCCAGCTACTTTCGTGCTCTCTTGAACCCTCTCCCTTCCCTCCAGCAGGTGCCTGCAGTGTGAAAGAGTACGTTGAAGAGATCACCTTCCAAGGCTGCACGGCCAATGCTACCCTGACCCGCTGTGAAGGATACTGCCCCTCCTCCACCAGGTGAGCCTCAGGGCGCCCCCCACCGCTGCCCAGGGCTCCTGATCCAACTTTCCTTCTCTCTTGGGGTTGGGAGGAGGAATGTTGCATCCCCCTTGCTGAGGTCAAGAACTCATAGCCAGCACCCCTTCCGAGTTCCCTCCCGGTGTGGATGAGCAGGCAGGCACCCATCCCCCCACAGCCGGCAGAACCTCGCGACCCCACCTCCAACAGAATAGAGGGAGCCTCCTTCATGAGGTCCCAACCTGCTCCTTGTAAAACTGGGGAGATTTCAGGGGTCACTGGATAGGGGAAAAAAAATAAGTATTTCCCTTAGCCTCTCACTTTAGTTAGCCTTTCTTCAATGACTTAAAAACCCTATTCGGCAAGGGGACCCATAGATTTCTCCAGACTGTCAGAGGGTTCCATGGCACACCAAGGGTTAAGAAGTCCTGCTGTGCAGTGAAGATGGGGGGAGGGCATCAGCCCCAGGCCAACCTCCAGGACACCCGTGACCCTGGTGGGAGGATCCCCTGGAAGCCAGTCCCGACGCTGCAGCCACAGACCCTCCCCACCGTCCTGAGCCCAGGATAGGCCTTGTCAGCTGTCGGCGGGGGAGCAGCTCAGGCCTGACCTCTCTTCATTGCTCTGTCCAGAATCAGCACAGACACCATGAAGCCGGAGACCCACTGTGGCTGCTGCTCCCCACTCACCACCTCCGACAAAGACCTCCTGCTGCCTTGTCCAGACCCGGGGCGGCCAGGAAGGCGGCTCGTGGTGCAAATCCAAGTGTTCAGCAGCTGTGTGTGTAACCAGCAGCGCTGTGAAGCCTGAGGACGAGCTCTGCAAAGTGCCGTGGATGCGCGAGGGTCCACGCCGGGAGCCGCGCTCTCTCGCGTCCCCAGTTCTCCTGCTACCAAGGCCTGGCCTCACCCGCCACAGCTGCGCAGCTTTGGGACTGGCCCTCTCCCTGCTGGCTGCCCAGAGATGGGGTCATTTGGACGGAGGGTCAGCCACCCAGGAGATCTGGCGGCCCACTCCCTGCCGACCTCCCACGAACTGGTTAAAGGGGGACCTCGTCATTTCCTGTAAATCGTCCCTCCCATGTCCTAACCCTCAGAATGCAGCTGTGCCCCGTAGGCAAAGGACCCTGGAGGAAGGCCAGGGCCAGGGCCAGGGCCAGAGAAGGCCCTGGAGCAGAGGCGGGGACACTGGCTGGAGAGCCAGGGTGAGGAGCTGAGGACGAGGAGCGGCCCCGCGCGTGGACAGCGCCTCCACTTCCTGTATTCTAAGGGTTAGATGTCAATTTTCTAAATAAAAGATCTTCACTAGACTTAATAAAGTAAATGGAATCTCTCCCCTCTGGGCGGTGGCTGTTGTCCGCGGCGGGGGCGGGGGGGGGCACCGATTCTTCAGGCCAATAACAATGATTATTAAGCATCATGATAGTAACAGCTGCTAGCACTCATATAGCACCTACTATGTGCCAGGCACTGTGCTATTATCATCTCATTGGATCCTTACAACAAACGCGGGAGGGAGGTGCGATGACTGTCTCCACTTTACAGATGAAGAAACTGAGGCACACAGCGGTACGTGAGTGTCTGAGGTAGGATTTGAACTCGGGTCTTCCTGATTCCCAGTGCTCTAGCCATTGAGCTGCCCCCTCAGTGTCCAGACAGATCAACCAGAGTTGGGCAAGACCTTAGAAACCATCGAGCCAGCTAAGTGATGTAGTGGCTACAGTGCCCCTGGAATCAGGAAGACCAGTTCAAACCCTGCCCCAGACATTCACCCTGGGCAATTCACTTCTCTGCCTCAGTTCCCTCATTTGTAAAATGGGGATCACAATCGCACCTCCCTCACAGAGTTGTGAGGATCGTTGGCCGGGGCGTAGCACCCCATGGAGCACTTGGTTGTTCAGCCGTTTTCAGCCGTGTCTGACTCTCCATGACCCCAGCTGGGGTTTTCTTGGCAAAGATCCTGGAGAGGTTTGCCGTCTCCTTTTCCAGATCATTTTACAGATGAGACTGAAGCACACAGGGTGAAGTGACTTGCCCAGGGTCACACAGCCAGGAAGTATCTTCCTGTCTCAAAGTCCAAAGCTCTGTGCACTGTGGCCCCCAGCTGCCACCTAGCACATAGTAGGCACTTAAATGCTCATTTGGTTTTTCCATGTAAATGGGGAGAGAGGTTAATTGACTAGCCCCAGGTAAGACTCAGAAACAGGATTTGAACCCAGGCCCTGGTGCCTCCCACCTGAGCATTCTTTCTTTCAGTCTTTTTAGCTGGATTAGCCAAATTGTATGAGGCTGGTCCCTTGGGCCACCCTCTTCTCTCGACTGTCCCTGAAGACTCACTTTCACCACAGCCTCACCCTGCTCCCCCCCCACCCCCAGGCACTCCCAGACTTGGCCAATGGACCCAAAAGGGTCTGGGACCTTGAGGTCTTCACGAGACCCCCACATTCAAAGCGCCATGGCCCAAGGCGCACCCTCACTGCCCTCCCACACACTGCCCCATACCACTCCCTCCTGCTGGCTCCCACTCTCCTCCCTAGGAAGACAGCCAGCTCTCCCCTCCACTTCCTGCCCAACCCTCACTTGTCAGTCTTGGCCTAAACCCGGGCTTCATCGTCACGGCTCACTGAGATGGTCCACTCCCAGGTTACTGATTGATCGATGGCCAAACTACCTTCTCACCCTCTCTGCAGCCTTTGGAACACCCCTCACCGCCATCATCCATGTGGGCGTACACCGGGACTCTGTCCGGGGCCTGCTTCTCTCCTCCCCCGTCATCTCAAGCAGATGGCTCCTCGACTGAAACGCCTAGCCCACTCCTCTCTGGCACCTCAATCCCAACAGGACATCCTGTAGGCACATCCCAAACCCCCACCCTGGGCTCTACAGAGAAGGGCATCAGCAGCTCACTGTGCTGACCACCTCGGAATCCCCTTCCATCGGCCGCCATGCCCTCCCCTCCATCCCGTCCAGGCACATGGCCACCACTCTGCTCCCAACTCTGGCCAAGCCACTTCCCAGCTCAGGCAGCCCCCCTGGGCTCCCTTGTGCCTCTAAACCCCATCCTGGGCCACGAGGGGGCCTCTCGGCTGTCTGACTCCAGCCAGTCTCCAACACGGCCCAGGCTGGTCCACACCTAAACCCTCCCCCTCTGCCTCCTCCAGTCCAGATGCTTGAGCCCTCATCCCTCCTGGGTCCCATCTAGCCAGATTTCCTTCTCCCTCTGCACATGGTGGGCCTCAAGCCCCCAGCTTCATCTTAGCATTCCCCGGGGCCAGGCCAGCATGACACCAGGTGGTGAGGCTGGGCCTTTCTGGGGTCCCAGCCGCCATCCCGAGCCCCGAAAGCCACAAGGACCGCGGTAACCAAGTGCCCATGAAGCCCACCTCCACACAGGGCCTGGTCCTTCCTGCCCTCACCCTGGGAGGCAGAGGGTCTGCAAGGAATCGCGTTGGCAAGGACCAGAGAGACACCCCGAGTCTGTTCTAGCCATTTATTTCTCTTTTAAAAGATAACACACTTTTCTGACGAATTCACGGGTTTTCAAAATGTCATAATGAGAGTCCTGAGGGTAAAGGAGGTGCTGGGGGGAAGGGGTGAGGGCAGAGACACTAGGCTGAGCTGGTCACTGTCCACGCTAGGTATGTCCACCTGGCAGAAGCCACCCCGCGGCAGCCAGCACAAGGTGGGTCCTGCAGAGCACTCGGTGCCTTTCACACGGTGATGCCTAAATACTGCACTTTGAACAATAATACTATTTCCACGAGCTCAAGGACAGGGCACATCACTCCGGCAAGGCTGAGGCACGGCACCACAACACAAAGCTTCTGTGGGTTCAGACGCCTGCGGTTGGGGTGGGGGTCCACGGGAAGGAAGCGGGGTCACGCTTTGGGACATTCGGCCCCAGCCCACCCTCAGCCTTCCTCCCTTCTGCATCCAGTCTCCAACCACACAAACCAAAGCCAGGTGAGCACGAGAGGACGCCGGGGTCTGCTCGGGGTCTGGGCCACGGTTTAGCCCATGTTCGGGCTGCACAGTGTGAGCATGGGCACGAAAGGGCCTCCCGCTGCTGCCCAGCCCCAGGACCTGGCCCTCTGTCCTCAGCTTGCAGTAACCCACCAATCTGGGTGCTACGGCCCCATCCCAGCGCCCCAGGCCCATCGCCCTCCCAAAGGACAGCCGGGGACCACACTGGCTAAGTGTCTCCATTTCCCTTAACGATTCTGAGAATGGCACGTTTTGAGGGTTAACACAGGGGCACCTGCTTGCCCATCAGGTGCCTCACCCATCTGTGTGGCCTCAAACCATGGCTCCTCTCCTCCAAGGAGTCAGAGAAACCACGAGATCCTGAAGGCTGACCCTTGCCCAGCTCATGCCTACATGCGTGCTGTAAAAGCTAGCGACCCGAGGAGGTCGCTGCAGATGCCCCGGGGCTGCCTGGGACCCTGGCGGCGGGCAGGCGGACGAGACAAAAGTGGCAGAGAAGCCCCCGGACGAGCCACCCCATCGAGCAGCTGCGGCGGTGAGGGTGGTTACTGCCCCGTCCCCCGCGCTCAGACCCTGACCCCCATCGCCCTGAAAACGCTCAGTGTTCTTGTTCATGGCCAAGCCTCTCCTCCTCCGCAGCCTCCGCTCCCGGCAGACGCAAGCGAAGATTCGTCTCGGACAGCGTCTGTCCCGCTGGCACGGGGGCCGAGTCCCTTCCGACACCGCGCATCTGCGCTCCATCTGCTAGACGGACCGCGGGTGGGGGGAGTCCTCGGGCACACGGCAATATTCAGACACTGGGGTACAAGGTATGTTTATTTGCAGGGGGATAATGGAGACAATGAGGAGGAAAACACGCACAAACTGCACTGATTCCGCGTCCCCGTTCGTTAAAACTGCTCCGACAGCAGGTCACACAAACGCTGGGACACGGTCTCCTTGCTCGTCCGAAGGGTGAGCCGGTACATCTGCAAACAAAACAGAGGCTGTTGGTGTGGGGCAGCAGCAGCACCCTCCCGCGCCCTCCCCGCTGTCCCACGCCCTCCCGCCTCCTCACCTGGGCCTGCAGGTTGGGCTCCAGGCGCAGCAAGCACCCGATCTGTGCCGTCCTGGTGTGGATGATGCCAGCCCCCACAAAGTTGGCCGGGTTAGGGTCCACCTCCTCCAAGAGAGCGGAACCGAAGCCGATGATCTGTCCGAGAGAGACGGGGACGATGAAGTGCCGTGTGGCGGAACAGCAGGCCTCCCTTGGAGATGCAAGCATGAGCCCTTCACCACCGTCCCAGGGAAGGCAGCCCCCGGACGTCTGGCGGACAGCTCCAGCACAGCAAGGCCCAAAGCTGAGCCACAGAGAGGAAGCGAGCAGACAGCGTCACGCCAGAGGCCCTGGACCACCCCGCGAGCCCTGGGGAGAGGGGCGATACCGCCACACCCACCCCTCGGCAGAGGTCAGACAGAGAACTGAGGAAATCTCAGAGGTGCCTGCCTGCTGCAGGAGCTGCTTCCCCGTTTCACAGAGGAGGAAAGCAAGGCTCAGAGTGTCGCAGGCAAGGTCAGAGCCCACACCACACGGGCTCTTGCTATCCCTAGTCTGGTAAACCTGGGAATTCTTAGGAGATCAAAGTCAGGGAATCACTGAAAAGGACGGAAAGAACCTTGGCTCTAGACCTGCACGATGAAGGGGCTGGACCCCAAGGCCTCATGGGAGTCCCAGGGCCCATGTTACCTTGGCCTTGGTGATCTCTGGATCCATCGGGTGCTTGGCCTTGAAGATGTTCTGCACCTCCTGCTGGGGACTGCAGGAGCAGTTAGTCAGAAAGAGCCACGAGGCTGCCCGGTACCACCACCATCTCCACCGCCCCGCCCCCGACTCTGCACAGGGTCCTCACTTGCTCAGCTGTTTCCAGCGCTGGAAGAAATCCTGGGAAGCCATTTCCGTGGGCTGGAAAAACTTGTTGAGTGTGATGGGCAGTTTGACTGACACATTCTGAAAGGTTCCCCCATACCTGCACACCAGAGAGAATGCGGGTCAGGGGAAAAACCCCAGGCCCGCACTGAGGCATCTGCAGAGCCCCGGACATGACCTCCCGCCCGAGGGCCGAGCATCCAGGACTCGCTGCGGCAGGCTGCACCAAACACAACCAACGGGAGAGAATGCCGCCACTGGGCACTACCCCCATGCTCCTTAGAGAGAGAACAGGCCGCAGTTCCCACCTCTGAGGATGCAAGAGGGAGGTGCTTTTCTGAGGGGCTCTGGAAGTGAAGCATTTCCACAGGAATCCAGGGTGATTCTCAAGCCAAGAGCCCATCTCAGCGCCATTCTTCTGGACATGAGGAGGCCAGAAAAGGGGCCTGGGGCCAGCCACACAGCCACGAGCTGCCCCGTCTCCCCTTCCCCTTCATCACAGCTTTCCAGCTGTCTCAGAAAGCCTCCAAACCTGCCTCTGGGAAGGCCCAACTTCGCATCCCTCTCGGCAGAAACAGCTAACAGAGTGTGGGGTCATTCATCATCGGGAACACCTCTAAGTGTTCTGAGGACCAACCTCAGGACGCTGAGTCACGAGAAGCCCCAGCAAAGCAAAGCAAGGCGAGGAAAAGGGAGGCATGGGGTGGCATGGTGTGGCGTGGCAGGACATGGCAAGGCAAGGCTAGAAAAAGGGAGACACAGCGTGGCGTGGCAGGACGTGGCAAGGCAAAACGCAATGCATGGCAAGAAAAAGGGAGGCACGGCGTGGCGTGGTAGGACGTGGCAAGGCAAAGGGCAAAGCAAGGCAAGGAAAAGGGAGGCACAGTGTGGCATGGC